CTACAAGATAGGCATTATTATTACCCCTATTTTATACTTGGGGTTACCGAAGCAAACAGAGGCAAAGTGACTTCCCCAGGGTCACAAAGCTATCAAGTATCTGAGGTTGGATTTGAACTCAGGTCTTCCTTATTCTGGGCGGCTAGGTGGTACAGTAGATAGAGTCCCCATCCTGGAATCAGGAAGACATGAGTTCAAATGCAGCCTAACAGACTTAGTAGCTGTATGACCCTGGGCAAGTCACTTAATCCTGCTTGCCTCAGTTTCCTCATCTATAAAATGAGTTTGAGAAGGGAATGGAAAACCACCCCAGTATCTCTGCCAAGAAAACCCCAAATGGGGTCACCAACAGTGGGACATGACTGAAAAACAACTTCCTGACTCCAGACCCAGTGCTCTCTGTACTATGGCACCACCTAGCTACCTCTAGTGAGAAGATTTCCTGATCCTACTAGTTGTTAGCACTATCTCTCTCAGTAAATTACCCTGATTTTACTTTGTAAAATCTTCTATGTATTGATTGATCTATGAACATGGCATATTACTACAGAAGATTGTAAACTGTATAAAGGCAGTTTTTGTCTTTGTATTCCAAACATTTTGTATAGTGCCTAATGCATTATAGTCTCTTAAAAATGCTTATGGACTGATTTACATACAGTATCTAGTTAAAGACTTCTGGGGATGGGAAAGACACTGTTTCCCATAATAGACCTTTCCATTTTGGGATAGGTCTAATGGTTAGGGAGGGGTTTTTTCTTTTTTTCCCCTCATATTGAGTCAAAATCTTCCTCTTTGCAACCTTCACTTATTTGCTCTACAAATCTAATCTTTGTTCTACCAGAAGGTCCTAGAAATACTTATAAGGCAACTATCATGTTGCCTCTCAGCAGCTAAGTGATGCAATAGATAGAGCACTGGGCTTTGAGTCAGAAAGACTCACTTTCCTAAGTTCAAATCCAGCCTCAGACACTTACTAGCTATGTGACCCTGGGCAAGTCACTTAGCCCTGTTTGTCTCAGTTTCCTCATCTGGAAAATGAGCTGGAGAAGGAAATGGCAAACCATTCCAGCATCTTTGTCAAGAAACCCCAAATAAGATAGTGAAGAGTTGGATAGGATGGAAAAATGACTGAAAAATGACAAAATCATGTTGCCTCTAAGTCTTAACTTTCCCCAATTCTTTTAACTGATCCTCATATGACATAGTTTCAAGTTATGTTAACTTCTTGATTGTTATCCTCTGGACAGAAATCAGATTGTCAATGTCCTCAATATGTGACAAACAGGCCCATCAATTAGAGAATAGCTGAATAAGTTAGATATATGAATGTGATGAAATACTATTTTGCTGTAAGAAATTATGATGGGGATGATCCAGAGAAAACTTGGAAGATATATATGAACTGACGCAGAATGAAGTGAGCAGAACCAGGAAAACAATTTATATAATAGAAAGTATTGTAAAGACAACCAACTTTGGAAGATTTAGGAAATCTCATCAATAAAGAAGTAACCAACCATGATTTCAGGGAACTCATGATGAAGTGTGTTACCCATTGAGATTTTTTTTGTTTTTTTTTTTTCTGGATGTGACCAATCCAGGAATTTTTGTCCTCAACTATGTGTGTTTGTAACAAGAGATTTTTTTTCCTGCTATCTCAGTGTGGGGAGGCAGGTGAACACGAAGGGAAGAAACTATATATTTTTTTCAAAAAGTGGTACCAAGAATTGAAAACAATATTTTAGATTTAGTCTGAATAAGATATAGTACAGTGGTATTATCAGCTTTATCATTTTGGATATCTCTGTCTCTGTTATTGTAGCCTGAGATGACACTACCTATTTTTGGCTGCTGTATCATTCTACTGACATATTAAACTTGCAGTATACTGAGACCCCAAAGTCTTTTCATATATATTTTGTGCAGCCATGCTTCCTTCATCCTGTAGTTTCACAAGTGATTTTTTGAACCTGAGAATAGGAATTTACATTTATTCCTATTGAATTTCATTTCTTATTCTGTTGTGTTAATTAAGGACAGAATGTTCTAGGCTTGTGTGGCTAGACAAAAGGATAAAGAACTGAAAGGACAATTCTTATGCTGGGCTTCACTCCAAAAAACTGGTTATTCTTCTAATTGCCTCTCAGAATGTTTGGTGAACTATCTGTGATGCTAGGCAAGTCACTTTGCCATGTTTGCCTCAGTTACGTCATCTGTAAAATGAACTGGAGAAGGAAATGGCATAACACTCCAGGATCTCCTCCAAGAAAACCCCAAATAGGGTTTCAAAGAGAAGGACACAACTGAACAACACAACAACAAAGTAGTCATCTATAGTGTAGTGATCTCTCTGTAAAAACAAAAAATAAAACAAAAACACACCACAATCTATATCAGCGTTAACGGAGGAGAGATATTACATATGAAATAGATAATTAAGATTTACATTACCAAAGCTGTAGTTCTTGAGAGGGAGCCCCCTTGTCCTTGCACGGTAGCAGTGAAAATAGAAGTCATTAGGAAATATTTGTTCGCGTCATAGTTGTTGCATTTTCTCCCATCTCTTCACCATCCTAATAGTCATCATCACTGATATTAAACATAGGGCTTTAAAATTTGAAAATCACTTTACATTCATTATCTCATTTGGGCCTCACAAGATCCCTGAGATTTAAGTACTACAGGTCTTATTATCTCCATTTTACAGTCAACAAAACTGAGTTTCAAAGAGCTTACATGATGTGCCTGTGGTCACACAACTAACAAAGTCAGAGCTGGGATTGGAACCAAGGGCTTCCTGAATTCAAGTTGAATAATTGATCTACCATGCTCCTACTGTGCCTAATTTTCTGTCAGTATGGTATTTTGCTTTGAAAAGATACATCTCCCTTGAATTTTTTTCTCTTTTTCTTCTCTAAACTACATCAATAGTTTCATGAGGACAAATTTCTTTTCTTCTTTAGGATCATTGTACCCATTAGCCTTATTACAATTTCAATAACCCTTTGGGTTCTCAGGAAATTTTGAATGATGAGGTATTTAAGTCCCTCTCTAAGCCATTTGTAAATCTTAGACTACAAACAGATCCCTGGCTCAATCCATTACACAGTGCTGTCTTTCTCCTTTGCTTGGCTCCAGATTCTCCTACTGGACCTTCTGAACTCATTATTTCCACAGGAGGAAGGGCACTGTTTTCTTTCTTCATCTTCACCTTTCCTCTCTGTCCACCACCTTCCCATCACCTTGTACTTCAAGTCTTCCTGATTAATGGTTATGTAATCCACTGTAGCCTGAAATTTAAGACATTAGATTTTCTCAGTTCAGGAAACTCAAGACATTTTTTGTTTATTACTTCCAATAAAAGGGCTATTTTAAGGAGCTCTTTTTTTGTGGTGTTCTGGGCTTGCATTTAAATGAGTAAAGAAAATTATCCATAAGACTCCCATGTTCTATGTTGTGATGCCTTCTGGTTTTTAGAAATTGGAGAATATTGACATTTTTGCTTTTTAAAACATTCAGAGCAGTTACTCATTCCTAAGATTTGCATCTGAATTCATTAGACTTCGGTATCTTTAGCCAAACATTAAAGATTCCCATAAAAACTTTGTTTTTACAAGACAAATACATCATGATTCCACTGATGTTTGGACAGCTGTTAAACAATAAATTCCTATCTGGAATAACTGAAACTGAGACCATCTATAAAACTATAAGGGAAAAATTTGATTTGTAACTGTAACTTGGCAACCTTGAGGAAGTTATGGCACCTCAAGTACCTCTCTTTATTCCTGTAAAACTGAAAATGATTAGATAGATCACTAGGGACTGTATGTGGACTATTTAGCTTATGTTGTTAAAATGCCATATAAATGTCAAGCATGCCTATTAATTAAGATTTTGCCTCACATAATTCATTCATGCCTCTATAAATCTCTAAGCTTCCAGTTAGAGGTGGTATGCCTCTTTAATTCTCATCCAGAGCCTTGTCTTAATGTTGCTTTTACCAGTTTCTGGGATAGTTTACTTGACTCAGTGGACAGCTAGGTGAATAGAGCACTGGGTACTGGAGTCATGAGGACCTGAGTTCAAATCTGGTCTCAGATACTTACTAGCTATATCATTGTGGGCAAGTCACTTAACCCTGTTTGCCTCAGTTTCCTCATCTGTAAAATGAGCTGGAGAAGGAAATGGCAAACCATTACATTATCTTTGCTGAGAAAACCCTAAATTGGTTCATAGAGAGTTAGACACAACTCAACAATGATTTTACTTTAGGTCCTGAAGGAATTTCTCTTTGTGAATCCCATTTTATACATACATACATACATACATACATATATATATATATATATATATGTATATATACACATATATATATGTCTATAGATATATATATACATATATATATATATCTATGTCTATAGATACATATATACACATATATATATATCTATGTCTATAGATATATATACACATATATATGTCTATAGATATATATATACACATATATATATGTCTATAGATATATAGATATATATGCATATATATGTCTATATATATATAAAATAAACAAATTAATTGTAGGTAACAGATCCTACCTACCTAATTTATATGTGTATATATTTGCTTTGTAGAAAAATAAATGCAAATTATACATAACCAAGGAAAATCTCCAAATTAATTCAAAGTTGGCCTTGAGGTATGGTCATTGATTCCCATTCACTGGAGACACATACTCAGACCCTCCCTCACTTGTGCTGTACCTGCCTCTGACCAATCTACATGGGTGAACTTGATGGAGGTGGGCCACTATCATCAGATCTGAGTCTTGGATGAGCACATGGCATACTCAGGGATGTACTTGACTCTGCTCCTAGAAAAACTTCATCACCTGGTGGAACTTTGGCTACACATCCCTTCTTTCCCTGTGCAAATGGTTTCCAGCAAGCCAAGGGAAAACAGTGTAACTCCTCACCTTTGCCTTTCTCCCTTTGCAGGATGGAGCTTTAGCATGGGTTCTGCCTATCAGTTTCACAGCTGGCGCGTCTTCGTGATCGTCTGTGCCCTCCCCTGTGTCTCGTCTGTGGTGGCCCTCACTTTCATGCCGGAAAGCCCCAGGTTCTTATTGGAGGTAAAACATTATTGTTGTTTCTTGTTGCTGTTGTTGCTGCTAAACATATCAAACTGATGTTATTGTTCCTGAATTCAAAAGTAGTCAATATGCAAAAATAGATTCAGTCTCCAGCTAACACATGACCCAAAAGTCATTCTTATGTTGGTTTGTTAAAAAGGGGGAACGTGTTTATCCATAGAAACAATGATGCTTAGGTTCCCAGGCCCATCAGAGAAAGCCTACTTATGTTTGATTTCTCTGCTCTTTCCCACTTTGATGAGGCTAACATGTCCCTTCTGTGTATTCCTCCCAAACCACAGGACCGTGTTAAGTCCATTATAAAGTTTTACCAGTCTAAATGCTGCTCCGTGCTCCTACCTCCTCCCCATCTCTCACCCTACTCTTTCCTGGGCCCTGTGTGCCATTCCTCTATTTCCCTTCTGCTATGTCCTTTGGAACTCAGGCTCTACTCTAAACTATTCAATCAACAAGCATTTTTAAACACCTATTATATGCTAGGTACTATGCTAGACAATGGAAATAAAAGGGACAAATGCCCTCTAGGAGCTTACATGCTATCAAACTCTGCTTTTGGTACCACATTTCCTTTTCCACCCTCTCCAAAGAAGACTACTCTTCTTCCCACTTACCCTGAATTTCATGACCAAGAGGAATAGTCACTATACTCCCAATTCCTCACTTTTAAAACAAATATACACAGTCGAGGAAAACAAATTTCCACATTGGCTATGTCCGGAAACACACGTCTCATTCACAAACCTTGATGAGCTACCTATTATTATCTCTTGTCCAAGCTGCGTTTCTAGCTGATTACTAGAGACATTTCCACCTAGATGTTCTTGTAGCACCTAACACTCAATATGTCCCACACAGAAACACATCAGCTTTTACTCCAAACCAATAACTCCTTTTGACTTCTCTATTTGTCAATGGCACCACCTTTATCCTATCACCCATATTCAAAGCCTGTTATGACGCTCCCCTCCCCTTCATCTCCCATGTCTAGTTATTAAGTCCTGGCAAGTCTGTCTCTTAAACATCTCTCCAATACATCCCCTCTCTTCCACTCTCATTGGTACCACTCATTACAATCCTCCTCAACAACTGTTAACAGCCTCCTAACTGGTATGCCCTCCAGTCTCCCCACCATCCAATTCACCTTTCATTCACCATCAAAGTAATATCCCTTAGGTGCTGCTCTGATCATGTCACTTATGGACTTAAAATACTTCATTAATTTTATATTGCCTACCAAATAAAGTCTAAATTTCTTAACCTCATGTTCAAGGCTTTCTACAGCCTTAGACCACTCCAATTTTCCAACTTGTCTTACCATTGTTCTCTCCCACGTGCTTCATGCTCTGACCAAACTGTACTATTTTTCCTCCCTGACACACATCAGGCACTTTCTTGCCCCTATGACTTTGTTCATACTATGTCCAATTCCTTGAGTACTCCCCCCTCTTCTCTTTTGAAATCCTTCTTATCCTTCAAGGCCTAAATCTGATACCACTATCTCCATGTCATCACCTTGGATTCCACTCATCAGAAAGTATTTTCCCAGCTGGGTAGGACAGTAGGCAGGATGCTGAAGATGGATTTGGGAAGACCTGAGTTCATCTATGATCTCAGATACTCTATGAACTATGTTACTCTGGGCAAGTCACTTAACCTCTGCTTGCATTAGTTTCTTCAACTGTAAAATGGGGATAATAACGGCATCTATCCTTCAGGGTTGTTGCAAGGATCAAATGAGATATTCGTAAAGTGCCTCATAAATTTTAAACCTCTATATAAATGCTGGCTATTATTATTATTAATTATGCAATTTCATCTTACTGGATTTGGCCCATTATTCTAATCTGCCAAAATCTTTTTGAATCCTTATTCCATCATCGAACATACTTAATACTTCTTTTAGCTTCATGTCAACTGTCCTTTATATCAAAACCATTTATGGGGGTTTTTTAGGGTGGGGGAGTATGATTATTTTAAAAAACTAGAGTGCTATAGTAGTGGTCTTGGAAGGTGGGCCATGGTTACATAATTGAAGTAGTGAAAGGGGAAAGGGATGGAGGAAAGGACAATACCAAACAGTACATCCTGGTGACTTGGAAGACACCAGTGAGATAGTACATGATGAGACAGGATCAACCTGTTTGTAAGAGACTTTTATAAATCAGTCACTCATAAGCCAGAGACTCCTTGTAACCCACCGAAGTTAGATTCTGCTTTCCTTAGTGCCCAGGATACTCCAGAATAGTAAATTAGGCACTTTGGAGAAGCTAATGGGGAGAATGGAGAACATTTGTATTCTCCACTAAGGAGTCATTTACCACAGAGCCAGTTGCCTTGCAGAAGCAGTTCATTCAGTGTTTGCCTCATGACCAAAAAGATCTTCCATACCTCCTTAAACACCTAACTTGCCATTCAATTCACTACTTAAGAGACTGATTCACAATGTTCTAAAAGTACATTCTTTTAAACTTTCAAACATAAATGGATTTAATCTTCTTAGTAAAGTTGGAGGCAAGGTTTTCTATCATACGGAGCTTCCAAAAACATAAATATACTCCCTCAAAGTAATATAGGAAATTTTCAGGGTGCTCTTCAGAGCCCTACGATGGGAATTTACTCAATGATGCCCAGGTGACTTAGAAGGATTCCTATAGAGTCGTCATCCCAATACCCTTTGAGGAATCAAGCTCTTAGATGCCCTGGCTCAAGAAGATTGTCTTCAGGGTTAATAAATGTTGACTGATTGATCTGGAGGTCAGGGAAGGCAAGATTTGGTCTTGTACTTCACACATGTGCTCAAACTTCCTAGGTTGGGAAACATGATGAAGCTTGGATGATTTTGAAGCAAATCCATGACACTAACATGAGAGCACGTGGCCAGCCTGAGAAAGTCTTCACTGTAAGTATGGCTCCTCAGTTATTCCTCCTTCCCCACCCCAGGCCCCAGGTCCTTTGCAGTCCTACTTCCTGAAAAGGCCTGATCTATTTCCTTGCTAGTTCAGAGTAGCCTATAGTGTGGTACAGTGGAAAGGGTGCTAAGCTTGGAATCAAAGGATCTGAGTTTGAAACCTAGCTCTGCCCCTAACTTCCTCTGGGACACAGCTCATCATCTGTAAAATAAGGGAAATAGATGAGGTGACCTCTAATATTTATTCTAGCTCTTGGTCTACAACCATGTAAGCCCAAGATATATGAGGAGCATTACTAAAAAGCTGGAGCTGAACCAGGGAACAAATTGCAAAGCTTATTGAGATGGAACTGAAACTCCATCAAGTGACCAACTATCCCATGCCTTCTTATCCTACAAAATCCTTGTCCACATCCTTCCATAAGTTAACAGTTTGAATATTAGGACAGTATTTGGACAGTGCACCTATTATACCTCCCTTTCTTCTGGTTTTCTTTATAGTGAAAATATCAATGTAGGTATGGTTGAATTGATTTCACAGTGCACCAATTTATTGGTCACTGGACAGAGATCTCATTTTTAGTGTACCAACAAAAAAATTAACATTTGTAGATGGTCTTATAACTGTGGTGATTAGCATCTCCTCCCTGTTTTCTGCCATTTTCCCCCCTGTCCCTGTGGAAACAGTACCCAATGCCATTCTGTAATTGTATGTCTTTCATGGGTATGTCATAGCCAAAAATTCATCCAGGCCAACTCACTGTTGATGATATCTACCATACATAGTTAGGTTGGTCCTTGAAATACAGACACAATCTTTCACGTGGACCACACATTGAATCTTTTTGACTTGGAAGAACTTATCAGAACAGGTAGGATAGGAAAACCACAAAGATCAATGGCACTAGATTTGGAGTCAGAGGACATGGGTTTGAATCCTGGTTCTGCCACTTATCCCCTATGTAACCTTAGTCAAGTCACTGGGCCTCAGTTTCCTCATCTGTAAAATAAAGGGATTCTACTAGATAATCTCTAATAATTCAGCTATAAAATTTATGGAACTATACATGGATCTACAAATTGAATTTTACTGCATAAAAGCTTGGATCTTAATGAATAAGTCATATATGAGTATTGAGATTTGACTATGCTTGCAAATGCAAGTTCTGTATTTTAGTTAGAAATAGTATGCCTAAGAATAGAGCTAAACCCACGTAGTGTCAGAGGAGGTAACTGCCTGTGTTTGATAGATGCTAAAAGGCCTACCTGTCTCAAAATATCTTGTCTACAAGCCTACCATAGTCCCTTTAATTCTCAGAATTAGTCACTAACTGACTTAGGTTAAAAATATTATCTTGAGAAGCCTGTTAAAATGCAAATATCCTTTCTTGATTTATCATGTTAGATTGCAATGGAATTTAGAACAGGTTAATTCTGATTGGCAATGAAAGATAGGACAGTTTTATTTTGTGTATAGCAGTTGTGGCATCCTCCTTTCAAATGTGGAATCTGCAAAATAGCTATCCTAGGCTCAAGATACTCTGTGGGATACTTTGGGTACCACTCAAAACAGTAGTTCATGAGCCCCCATAGTGTGTTAAGTTTTTCTCTAGTAAGCCAGAGGATACAATTAGTTGAAAGCAAAGACATTTAATGAAGTTGTACCATAAGATTTGCAATGTAATAACCTTTCTGAAAATGGAGGGGACATTCTTCCACAAGAATAAATAAACATACACATGTACATGTATACACACATACATATGTGTATGTATATATACACATATATACATGTACATATATACATCTATATCAGCAACAAGGAGAATGAGCACAAATAGGGACCACATACAGAATACATGTAAAGGGGCAACTTATACCTTTGATGGTTCGAGAGTCCCAATGTCTTTGGGTGATGCCATTGCACTACGAGAATAGTACACATCAAGCTTATTCCTACTCCAGCCTCCCCGGACCTAATCCTCCATGGATATGTTGCTCTGCTGGACTTGCTGGGTCTGTTCCTTGCCAAGCTTACTCCTTCCAAGGAAAGGACCCTGTGCTCCACTGGGCTTTCCTGGTTTCCATTGGCATACTATTTGGCTTCTTTCAGAATGTCATCATTGCTCCCTGCCAGTATCTTCTTGACTCTTCTTTTTAGGGCTGGTCAAGCCATCTTTTCCTCAGTCAGCTAGGGTACGGTGACTAGAACCTCTCCCTGATAAAGGCAGGATAATTCTTTAGTCATAGCTGCCACACTCATCTAAGAAAAGCTAGGCAGGTTGCCCCCCATCTGGGCACTAAGGTTAAACCTAAGAGTAGAGCTTTCCATTTCTGAACCCTTCATCTGGAACAGAGACCAAAGCCTTCTGTTAGAAATGATTCTCAGACTCACAGTTCTCACAAGTTTATACCTTCCCAAGATCCTCTATGATTTGGCTGAAAATTAATTGGAATCAGAATGAAATGTAATCTAAGGGACAAATTCAGTGTTTTCTACCCACCTAACCTGAATTCATGTCTTATTTGTGCAAATCTGTCATCAGCAAAGCCTAGATGCTGTGATACAGCATCTAGAGAAAACCTCTCCATACTTCAGTCTCCAAATTGAAAATAAGGTTTTACCTATGTCCTCATTCCTTTCCCTACCAACTAAATAAAATGATTAGGCCACTGTTGCTCCTTCCCAAAATAATCTCAGCTTGGTTTGAAAAATCATTTAAGCGGATCAGAGTTGCTGTTTGCTGGTGAAATGAATTCACTTGAGCAGCTTCACTATTTGGTAGACACTCATAGTGCTTGCCTTTCAGGGGAACCATTCCAATAACAGAAGATCAGTGAGGAAAGCACCAAAAACCATTTTAATGCTTTAGTCCAGCAACTAAATTAGACCCAGGGAGGAAAAGACATCTTGGATATTACTTAACACATTATAAACCTAGATCCAGCAGCTCTGGCTATTTGTTTGATAATGTGTAATTTGAGGGGATATTTGCGAAAGGGCAATTTGGATGTGTTTGGAAGTTAAGTAGTACAGTGACTTGGAGTCAGGAAGATCTAGTTTTGAATCCTGCCTCAGACATTTACTGGCTGTGTGACATTGGGCCAATCACCTAATGGTGATTTGGCATCAGCTTCTTTATCTTTACAATGGGAATCAGGGCAGGGCCAAGATGGCAGATTAGAGGCAGCTGCTCAGCTTAACTCTCCCAACATGCCCCTCCAAATCACTTTAAAATAATGCCTCAAATCAAATTTTGGAGAGACAGGACCGACTAAAGGTCGGGGTAAGATGTTTTCCCAGCCTAAGAAAACTTAAGAGATGTGCAGAAGAAGTCTGTGGCACCAGATAAAGGCCTGTCCAGAGCCCAAGCACGTGACAGTGGCAACAGCAACCACAGCATCAAAAACAGCCCCAGCAACTCTCAGCCTAGAGATGGTAAGGAGGTTGGACAATTGGTCAGCTAGAGATTACAGGGGACCCATTGCTGGTACTAGGTACAGCTGGTGATGATTGGTAACTCTATTGCCCATATGCAATTCTGGGTCACAGTTCCAGGGCAGAGAAGACTGCTGGTGGAAGGTCACAAGGGAGCAGGGGCTCTGTCACAATACCGGAGCAAAAAGGAGTGCTATGGCTGGAAGCTGCAGGGGCCCATGGGCCCTTCCTAGGTAAAGACCAGAGTGCAGGTCAGGAGAGCAGTGACCACACCTCTCCAAAGATTGAAACACCTTGAAAGCAACAAAAACTTATAGAACCCCACAACAAGCTCTGAAAATAGCAGCACGAAAAAAGCCTGAAACTTGGCACAGTGCCTCCCCACCCCTAGATGAGCAGAGCCAAACTTTAACAAGTAGTTCAAACTCAAGAAATAAGCTGGAAAAAAATAAGCAAAGAACAACAAAAGAGAATTTGACCATAAAAAGCTACTGCAGTGGCAGGGAAGACCAAGACGTGAACTCAGAAGAAGACAATAATGTGAAAACAGCTACCCAAAAAAAGCCTCAAAGGAAAATGCAAATTGGACCCAAGTCCAACAACAGTTCCTGGAAGAGTTAAACAGATAAGAGTGATAGACGGAAAAACGGGAAAAGAAATGAGAGTGATACAAGAAAATTATGAAAAGAAAATAATAGAAAAAAGAGGCACCGAAAAATACAGAAGAAAGTGACACCTTAAAAAACAAAATTGGTCAAATGGTAAAAGAGGCACAAAAATCCACTGAAGAGAAGAACTCCTTAAAAAGCAGAATTGGCCAAATGGAAATGGAAGTAAAAATCTCACTGAAAATTCTTTAAAAATTAGAACTGGGCATGTGGACGCTAATGATTCCATGAGACATCAAGAAACAATAAAACAAAGTCAAAGAAATAGAAGAAAATGTGAACTATCTCACTGGAAAAATAACTACCTGGAAAATAGATCAAGGAGAGACAATTTAAGAATTATTGGATGATATAAAGTTAAATTGTTTGCATTCTTATATGAGAAGATGATACATGTAACTCCTAAGAACTTTATCATTAGATAACATGCAAAGCATTTTGCAAATCTTAAAGTGCTTCATGAACATTAGCCACTTCAATTTTTTGTTAAACAAGATTTATCCTGCATATCTTACCCAATCCAACATGTCCCAATCATTCTCCAGTCCACTGGCATTGGCAGTTGCCCCTTCCCTTCATCACACTTACCACAAAATGGAACCATCAATGCTATACAACTGATGAACTTGGGCTCCTCTCCCCTCCATGCCAGCAAACATAATCTCTGTTCTATTTCCTACTTCTCAGAGCAGGTTTGATTTGCACACTTATTTCTAGGTGTTCCTAAATGCCCACAGATTATAAAATTCAGATATATTTAACCAGAAAAGAAAAAAATATAAGCACTTTCTGCTCTACTGCTCCTTACAGGTGAACAGAATCAAAACTCCGAAGCAGATTGATGAATTGATTGAAATTGAGAGTGACACAGGGACCTGGTACAAGAGGTGTTTTGTTCGAATCCGCACAGAATTGTATGGAGTAAGTAATGAACCTCATCTGTCTTTCTTGGCATTATAAGGTTAACAATTCTCTAAGGTCATGTGTTATAGATGAGTTATCAATCTGTATCTGTAGAGAGAATTTCCATAAGAGAAGTTTCCCACACCAATAAAACAATAGGTCCCAACCCCAAAAGAAAAGTGAATAGTAATAGATAGATGTAGCAGTGACTCTCAGTGGCATGCTGCTGATGCATTACACCTGATTCCAGAAATAGTTTCAGGTAATTGGAGGACCTTGATTCAAAGTCCCACTCTGCTAGGTATTACCTGTTTGACCTGGAGTGAGGCATTACCCCTCTTTTCGCCTCAGTCACTTCATATATAATTTAAAGGATTTGGCATGGATAAAGTACATTCCATTTCCTATGTTCCTAAAATGTTGGGATACCCTGGGGACCAGCAGAGACCAGAGAAGAATGAAGATTGGTTCCTACCTTTGAAAAGGCAAATCTTTCAGCCATGATTTGGGATAGACTGTAATCCTTGGATATCTAAGGAAGAAACTGCAGTCTCAAATATTGACAGCATGAAAACTCATTATGATTCAGTTTCCTGACATGGGACCCTTTTCCCTTTTAATTTTAACCAAACAGGATCAAGGAGAGCCCAGGCTTCCCAGATCTACAGTCTTCCCATTGTCTAAATGCATCACTTTAAGTTTTATTCATCTTAGTTTTTGCTAAACTATCATGTTAGAGACACTAACTCTCTAATTATTTCACAGATCTGGTTGACTTTTATGAGATGTTTTAACTATCCAGTTAAGGAGAATACACTGAAGCTGACAGTAGTTTGGTTCACCTTGTCTTTTGGGTAAGAGTCATCTGGATTCTTAGAGAAAAAAATAATAAGGATTCTTCCTTCCTTAGGGCTTTTCCTTTCTGATGGTAACATTCATATCACTTGGTGGCACAGACACACTCTGTAGCTGTGAACATTTTATTTTTCTTTTTATTTTAATCTATGAATAGTTCTAGTTTCAACAAAAGCAACTGTATGATAATTTCACGTATTTCATGTATCATAGTTATGACAACTGAAAGGGCAAAACCCAGTAACATTTGGAAAATGATCTCTTTTTTTGCCACCAAGCTTACTATCTGCTAAATTAGAATGCTGAAGAAAGGGGAATCAAGGGACAGGGGGAGGAATTTCATCTGCTTTTGACTGAATCCCATTTGTTGTTAGAAAATTTTAAGTTATCATCTTCCCTATATGTTCTCTATCATCTTCTCTAATAACTGCGAAACAGATAATATCCTGCATTTGAGGCTGTGTGGTAGAGAATTGTAACAGCCAACCACTGCGCCCCAAGTTAATACACCTAAGCATGTCACTTATACTTGGCCAAAGTTTACTCAGCATCCTACTGTCCCAAGCTAGAGAAGTGGCAAGGGAACCCTGTTTCCCTGGGGCCTAACCAGTATTCTACCCAATAAGATTTACACAACAGTAGTTCATGAGTCTCCCACCTTTCTCCCTTCTCTGTCTCAGCTAGATAACATTTTAATAGCTAGCATTTATTTAGTGCTTTGTAGTTGGGTAGGTGGTTCACTAGATGGAGAGCTGGGACAGCAGTCAGGAAGACTCACTTTCATGAGTTCAAATCTGGCCTCAGATACTTACTAGCTGTGTGACCTTGAACAAGTCATTTAACCTTGGTTGCCTCCATTTCCTCATCTGTAAAATGAGCTGAGGGGAAATGGCAAGCTACTCTGGTATCTTTGCCCCTAATTTGGGGTCACAAGAGTCAAATACTACTGAAACAACTAAACAACAATTTAGCACTTTAAGATTTACACAGTATGTTACAAATATCATCTAACTATATAATTCTATGGGCTTACATGACATCCTGAGACACAGGGTTTCATGAGAATCTTTGTGTCTGGCAGAGTACCTCTGACCAGTGTGAAAATATTCTAGGGGGCTTCAAAATGGCTTTTACCCATCAGAATAATCTGTATTCTTTGTACTTTTAAAGGCAAGGGGGTAGCAAGCAACTGAGTACAGAGTAGAGAGGCAGAGCAACAGAGTAGAAAGAATGTTACACTTGAAGTCAGGAGAGACCTGAGTTCAAATCCCACCTTCACCACTACCCTTATGACCATGGGCAAGTCGATTCACCAACCTGAGCCTCACTTTCCCAAACTGTAAAATGGAGACAATAGCACCTGTAGTGCCGATCTCACAGGGCTGCTGTGAGAATCAAACAGAAGCACTTTGCAAATCTTTAAAGACCGTGTAAATGTCAGTTATTATGATTAGTCTTAGATGGATATAAGCTATATCTCCTTCTTCTGACTCCTTGAAATATCTTTTAACTCTGAAATTTTTTTGTAATTATTTATTAAACAAAAACTGGTGGGAAAACTAGAAAATAGTATGGCAGAAACTAGGCATAGACCAACATCTTACACACTATACCAAGATAAAGTCAAAATGGGTACATGATTTAGATATGAAGGCTGATACTATAAGCAAACTAGGAGAGCAAGGAATAATTTGCCTGTGTGATCCATGGAGAAGGGAAGAATTTATGACCAAACAAGAAATAGAGAACATTATGAAATACAAAATGGATGATTTTAATTACATTAAACTGAAAAGTTTTTGCACAAACAAAGCCAATGTAACCAAGATTAGGAGGGAGGCAGAAAGCCAGGAAACAATTTTTACAGCCAGTGTCTCTGATAAAGGCCTTATTTCTAAAATATATAGAGAACTGAGTAGAATTTATAAGAAGACTAGTCATTCCCCAATTGATAAATGGTCAAACGATATGAACAAGCAATTTTCAGAGGAAGAAATTAAAGCTATCTACAGTCTTATGAAAAAATGCTCTAAATCACTATTGATTAGAAAAATGCAAATCAAAATAATTCTGAGGTACCACATCACACTTATTAGATTGGCTAACATGATAAAACAGAAAAATGATAAATGTTGGAGATGTGGGAAAATTGAAACACTAATGCATTGCTGGTGGAGTTGTGAACTCATCCAACCATTCTGGAGAGCAATTTGGAAATATACCCAAAGGGCAATCAACCTGTGCATACTCGTTGACCCAGCAATACCACTTCTAGGTCTGTATCCCAAAGAGATCATAAAAATGGGAAAAGGACCCACATGTACAAAAATATTTACAGCAGCTCTTTTTGTGGTGGCCAAGAATTGGAAATTGAAAGGATGCTCATCAATTGGGGAATGGCTGAGCAAGTTGTAGTATATGAATGTAATAGAATACTATTGTGCTATAAGAAATGATGAGCAGGCAGACTTCAGAAAAACCTGGAAAGATTTAAGTGAATTGATGCTGAGTGAAGTGAGAAGAACCAGGAGAACATTGTACACAATAACATCTACATTGTGCGATGACTGACTTTGATAGACCTAGGTCTTCTCAGCAGTGCAAGGATCTAAGACAACTCCAAAAGACTCACAATGGAAAATGCTACCCACATGTAGGGAAAGAACTTAAGAGTCTGAATGAAGATGGAAGAATGCTGTTGGCTCTCCTTTTCTTTTATTGTTTTGTTTTGTTTCTTCTTTCTTGTGGTTCCTCCCATTTGTTCTGATTGTCCTTTACATCATGACTAATATGAAAATATGCTTAATAAATGTATAAGTAGAGTTACATTAGATTGCACGCCATCTTGGGGAGAGTGAAGGAAAGGGAGGGGGAGAAAATTTAAAACTCAAAATCTTGTAGAAATGAATGTTGAAAACTAAAAATAAATTAATTAATATAAAAAAATAAAAATAAAAACATAATAAAATAAAATGAACAAGCAGGACCCTTCCTTAGGCAATCAATGATGTCATTGACTTTGCATGTTGGAGGGCTTGCTCTCATGCACTGGAGTCCTTAACATGCAAGGCTTTCTTTGTCTCCACAGGTACTATGGATTGTCTGTCTGGTTCCCCGATGTCATTAAACATCTGCAGTCTGATGAATATGCAGCCCAAGTGAGAAATATTGACAGAGAAAAAGTGGCCAATTTTACTCTCAACTTCACCTTGGAAAATCAGATCCACACCAGTATAGAATACGACAATGGCAGGTCGAGAAACATTTAAGTACAATCATTTACTACTAATCTAGGAAAGAGAATTCTAAGGTTGCTAAGGCAATGTGACAGTGAATGCTGAATATTCCTTTTCAGTTTGTAAACATTAGCCCTTGTGTTCAGTGTTAGAGGTTTTAGATGGTCTCAATAAAACAGGTGAAGTTATGTGAGGTATCAATTGTTTTTCCATTTAATTTATGAAGCATGCTTGTGCACGTGTGTGTGTGTGTGTGTGTGTGTGTGTGTCTAGAAATAAGGAGTAGACCAGCCATAAGACAGGTAAGAAAAATTTGGACAAAATCTAAAAGGGCACAAATAGGGAGAGAAAACAGGCCATATGAAGTGACACTGCAGGTACTGGTATAATTTTGTATGAAGAAATAAAAAAACTAGAAGGTCACAATACCAGCCATATATGTGTGTGTGTGTGTGTGTGTGTGTGTGTGTGTGTGTGTGTGTGTATATAATACACACATACATATATATATATACACACATATATGTGTGTATATATACATACATGTATACATATATACACACATATCTACATACATACATACATATATACATATATATTCAGCTGGTGTTTTTCATTTTGTACTAAAGTGAATAAAAGTTTAGGTTAAAGTAGACAGTTGGGAGAATTTCTCAGTTAATAGCAAGGGTTGTAAATGCAACACTAATCACCCTGGTCTAGATTGCATAAAGTACTATAACTGTCCTCTGGATATTTTTAAGACAAAGGTTGAGAACTATCTTTTTAAGAGAGTACAACTTCATCCTGGTTTGGATGGTGTCCTGGTTCCAAATATATGCTATCTATATAACCACCATAATAACTTATATTTGCATTCAATCAGCAAAGGCAGGGGACAATTTAAATCTTCTCATTTTAGCAAATGGAAAAGCTGTAGATCTGGAATAGCTAGACAGAGTTCCTATTCTATATTTCAGGACTAAACAAGATTGAAAGGGTAAGAAGGGATTCTAAGCATTCTCTTCTCTTGAATTGTTTCACTATCTCTTGTCTTAAGTTCTAGATGAAAAGAAAGATTAAGAATGCGGTACAATGGGTCTGAGCTAGCTATGTGAGGCAAGGAAACCTAACCATTATCTGGTTAATGCAGGGTCCACTTTGTTGTCCTACATCTGGAGTTCTTAACATTGTGGTCCACAGACCCCTAAGGAATCCTTGATAGGACTCTGTGTCCTATGTGTGAATTTGAATGGGAAAAAAATTATTTTTACTAAATTATTTTAGCTAACCAAAAATGTATTTTCACTAAATTTTGTTTTCCTTTGTAATCAATCAATTCTTTTCTAATTTTAAAACACCACTCTGGGTATGATTCTATGGGCTTCCTTTAAGTTCCAAAGGGGTGAGTCCATGACATGCAGAAAAGGTGAAGAACTCCTGTCCTATGGGATATTACTGACCACCACCTGGACTGGCAATCCTTGAGTACCCTAAAAACCATCTTACTTAACCAGTATGAGTTAATAAATGATATTTCTAAACCTTATAACCCTATACACTTTATACTCCTTACATGAGAAGTGTAGTTTTCTTTTAAAGAATTTTTAAAACTGTAACCTGTATAAAGTATCCAGTCAATGTTTCCATGGAATCTCATATTCAGTAATGTCCATGAAGATCCTAAGAAGAACTAAAAGGTTAAGATTTTTCATCAGTAATCCCCTATTCACCTGAATAGTGTTGGAATGCTTTCTTTAAAATATATACATCCAAAGGTAGATGTGATTACAGGATTTTGTACAATGCAGAGAAATTTAAAATATGACCAGCCCATCTCATTTTTAAAAACAGCTTCCCCATTCCAAATCCAATTCCAATTCAAAAGATTGATGCTCTCCTAAAAATGCAGGGCCATTTACTGACATTCAGTAGTTTCCATCACTATGCCCTCTACTTTTGAAACAATCATCTCCAACTAAAAGTACCTTGGAGAAGTAACAAGGCTCCAGCTTCATTTTTGTGGTTCATTTACTAGGCTTAAATAAATTTTAAGAAGAAAATGAAGCCAGATGATAGGTGAAAAAGGAATTGTCTTTAAAAGGAAATGCAGGGTGGTAAATGATGTACTTTTAAGTCAACTGAATTCTTTACCTTTTCTGCTATTGATAGGGGCAATGTAGCCTCTTTGGTGTTGGCAAGACCTTAACTACTTGTACCCCAGTTTCTGCATTTGTAAAGAGGTGGGGAAAGACATCCCCCTCTCAGTAAACCCTTGTGCTTTTGTATCCATTCCGAAAATTAACAAGAAGCAATGGTGATCCCATGGGGCACCTAAGTCTCTATTACCTTGGTGCAAATGAAAGATTCATCCAGAATATTATGATAACATTATTACCACCATCTGCCCAGCATTCCCATCAGTGCCATCCAAGCATGTTTTCAGTTGGTGTCATCATTCTACTTACTTTGCAAAATGTGCTGGGTTATCACCTTCTTCTTTGATACACAGAACGGAATCATTCATAGTGAAAAAGAAAATGTGGCTGAAAGTTTTTGTACCTGACACACTTCTCAAACCCTGAGTCAGTGGTACCTGATATAGATGGGCCAGAATCCATATTTCCTTTCTCCATGGAAGCCTGAAGTCACAAACATGAAACAGTGTTCTTTTATAGACAATAGACCAGGGATTCTTAACTTTTTGTGTGTCATGGAACCCTTTAGTAATCTGGTGATACCTATACTTTTAAAAGTATAAAATTTCAAAGGACAACAGTTATATTGAAATGCAGTTATCAAAATGTTTTTTGAAACCAGTTCACAGATCCCAGATTAAAATCTCTGTTTTATGTAGACCTTTTCAATAATTCCATTCAATGGTCAAAGAACTTCTCATTAAAGCCAAAAAGGACAGAGAATGGAGTGGTGAACACTCAACCAAATATATACTCAGCCAGTGCTTGAGTGTCCATGGTAAAAGCTTAGCCTTAATGACTGAAATCCAAAGGTAAAACCCAAATATGGATTTTAATCAAGTCCCAGTCTTCTTTCCAACAAACTCATTCACCAGAGCTGCTGGTGAGAAATGAAATGTTGGTGTCTATGTTTTATCTCTTCTTCTTCTGATGAAAGAAGATACTGTTGAATAGTGACAAGGTCATTAAATCAGGCAAGGGAGGAAGGAAAGGGGCCGAGGAAATCTTCCAATTGAATATCTTGGACCCTGAATAATCAGGAACTGATAATAATCAGGCATTAAGCTTCTGCTCCACCTGAATCTCTTTGACCTGCCTTTATCCCCCATGGGCCAAGGTCAGTGATGCAATCTCTTTTGTGTCTTGACAGGTTTATGGGGATGAAGTTCAAATCTGTGAGTTTTAAAAACTCCATTTTTAAGAGCTGCACCTTTGAGGATGTGACCTCCCTGAACACCTACTTCAGGAATTGTACATTTATTGACACAGTTTTTGACAACACAGGTATGTCACTGACCACTGCCATTAAAGGCAGGTCATTTGGGCAGGTCTACAATAATTATTATAAACTTTATGCATATAACCAGTGTGGGGATAAGGGATCGGTGTAAGGTGGTAACACCTAAAACAAATTTATTGGCTGATTCTTAAAAAGCAGATTGGAGTAAGGTTCCAATCTTACTGCCAAAGTTGGTACAAGTATATTTGTCTTACAGTTGTATCTCACTTTACGTAATGGCTGTGCTCCTGAAAAGTTGAACGTGAATTAACTTTTCATAAACGATTCTACATAGTGTTGGAGAGCTCAATACTTAAAAGTCATTCTTTGAATCCTTTTGTAAGACAGATAATTTGTCTGTAATTTATTTGCTTTTGTAAATCCAGGTTTTCTTAGCCTGGGTTTGTTTAAAGTAAAATACATTTTTCTTCCTCTGTAGCAAAAGTAGACAGCATAATTTAGGGAAAAAAACTTGGAAATCAGAAAACCAGTTCAAATGCCAGCTCATAATTACTATATATGTGACTATGGATGAGTCATTTTATTTCTTGTCCTCAATTTCCTCATCTACAAAATAAGGGGGTTTTACTAAGTGGCTTTTAAAGTCCCTTCTAGCCCTACATCCATGCTTCTATGGAAGTGTGGGTGTTACCTGCCTTTTCTGTTTGTTTGTTTTTAACCAAAGCCTCTGGGGAGCCTGCAAGAACACCTGGGATGGGACCTAGCAGGAATGAGTCTTATGTGACAGCCCCAACCTAGAGGGAAATCTGGAGCAGACTCTTCTACACAGCAGGCTTGTTGTTCCTACTCCCAGGAAGAGAGAGGGAAGAGCCCATTGTGGGTTAACACCACAGGAGGAGGAGTCCAAATTTGTGGCTGTTCATTGCTACCAGTGGGAATGAGCCTGACCCTCTTAGCAGGATATAGGCCAAATCTGAGCAACTAATGGGAGGTGTCCAAGATCACAGTAACCGGACTAGGGACTGGGGGTACTTGACAGTTGTTAAGTGCTTGACATGTATAAGCTGCTTGACAGGAAGAGTTGTTTCTTTGTTTGTATTTGTGGGACTGTTTAGTATCCTCCACTGCAAGGGCAACTGGGTCTTGCAGTGGATAAAGTGCTAGGCCAGGAGTCAGGAAGACCTGAATTCAAATCTGGCCTCCAGAGGCTTACAATCCCAATGTTCTTAGTAATTCTTGGCATATTTCTTAATCACACCACAATTGGGTGATATCTATTCACCTCTACACTCTCTTCCGCAGATTTTGAGCCATATAAATTCATTGACAGTGAATTTAAAAACTGCACATTTTTGCACAATAAAACTGGATGTCAAATCAGCTTTGATGACGACTATAGCGCCTACTGGATTTACTTTGTTAATTTCCTGGGTACGCTGGCAGTGTTGCCAGGGAACATTGTGTCTGCACTGCTGATGGACAGGATTGGACGTTTAACCATGCTAGGTATGTATGTGTTTGCTTGGATTATGTGAAATGAAGCAACTGCTCTTATATTCTAGCTGATGCCTAGTTTTTTCTTTGGGAATTTGCAGCCCTTGAAAGTAAAGACATCCCTTCCACAGACCTGTGCTTGGATACTTAATTGTAGCCTAACATCCTCTTTAACTCCGTTTCACAGTGGCAGTTCCCATGAATTCATTATCAGACTGAAAAATAATTACATATAACCAACATGTATTTTTTTCATTTAAATAACCAATAAATTTATCAGGTTCATTTCATAGTCTTCGTGTTTGAAATCCAGTTGGTTGGACAAGCTAGCCTTTCTTCCTAAGACTAACCTGCTAGGTCAGGTCAGTGATTTACAGTGGGGCATGAAGTATAATAGGAAGCCCTTTAGGAATCAGAAACTTGGATTCCAGGTCCCAGGTGGGACATTTTACTAGATGTGTGATTAATCCTGGAACAAGTTTCTCACTGTCTCTGGACCTCAGTTACCTCATCTGTACAATGAGGGGATTGAGTTCAATAATGTCTGAGATCACTTCCTACTCTGAATTTGTGGTCCTGCACCCTCTAGGAGACAACTAGGTGGCACAGCGGATAGAGCATTGGGCTTGGAATCAGGAAGACTCATCTTCCTGAGTTGAAATCCAGGCTCAGATACTTCCTAGTTGTGTGACCCTGGGCAAGTCACTTCACCCTGTTTGCCTCAGTTTCCTCATCCGTAAAATGAGCTGGAGAAGGACATGGCAAACCACTCCAGCATCTTTGTCAAGATAATCCCAAACAGGGTCACAATGAATCAGACATGACTGAATAAGACCTCTCTGAACCTCAGGTTTCTCATTAAAATAGAGATAATAATACTTATGTGTAGTAAAGACAGCATGATATAGTAGATAGAGTGCAGGGCCTGAGGTCAGGAAAACCTGGATTCAAATCCTGCCTCTGATACTTAGGAGCTATGTGACCTTTGACAAGTCCTTTAATCTCTTTGTACTTCTAGGACTTATCTATGAAGTCACAGCATGCTCTGTGTTGATGGAGGGAGTTCCTGTGCTGATGAAATAACAGACTCTTCTTATAATATTTTCATTACTACCTACCTTACAGGTTCATTGTAAGGGAAGCCCTTTGTTCAACCTAAGGCACAATATAAATGTGAGCTATTGGTGATGGCTGTTGTCATGGTACTACTACAGTCCTCACCTTCAAAAGCTAAACAGCTTCTGCTGAGCTTAGCAGGGATTCAGTCAGTCAATTAGCATTTATCAAGAGCCTACTATGTTGTGCTATAAGAAATGATGAACAAGCTGATTTCAGAAAAACCTGGAAAGACTTATATGAACTGATACAAAGTAAAGTGAGCAGAACCAGGAGAACATTGCATACAGTACCAGCAATATTGTATGATGATCAACTGGGAATGACTTAGCTGTTCTCAGCAATACAATGACCAGAGACAATTCCAAAGACTTTATGATGAAAAATACTATCCACCTCCAGAGAAAGAACCAATGGAGGGGCAGCTAGGTGGAGCAGTGGATAGAGCTCCAGCCTTGAAGTCAGCAGGACCTGAGTTCAAATCCGGTCTCAGACACATAACACATACTAGCTGTGTGACCCTGGGCAAGTCACTTAACCCCAATTGCCTAGCAAAAAGAAAAAAAAAAGAGCCAATGGAGGCTGAATGCAGATCAAGCATACTATTTTTCATTTTCTTTATTTTTTTGTTTTTTTTTCTTTTTTGGTCTCTGTCTTCTTTCACAATATGACTAATATGGAAATATGTTTTATATGATATATCAAATTGCTTTCCATTTCATGAAGGGAGAGGGAAAGGAGAGAAGAGAATTTGGAACTCAAATTTTTTAATAAATGAACATAAAAATTTTCTTTATGTTTATTTGTGGAAAAATAAAATATTATTTAAAACAAACCAAAAAAAGAGCCCACTATGTACCAAGTACTAGGCTAAGGGCTGGGGCTTTGCACGTGGTGATTATTGAATGCTAATGACACCTGCTCTGAGAAAACAAACAACATGACTGCTTTTGTGTGGCTTCTCATTAGGTGGCTCTATGGTGCTTTCTGGGATTAGCTGCTTTTTCCTGTGGTTTGGTACCAGCGAATCCATGATGATAGGCATGCTATGTCTTTACAACGGCCTGACCATTTCTGCCTGGAACTCTCTAGACGTGGTCACTGTGGAACTCTACCCAACAGACAGAAGGTATGTTCCAACCAGCCAGCATGTTTAGGAGGAACTGCGCCTACAGAAGTGGTAGAGACAGTGTCAGCACTAGCCGAATAGACCACTGTCCCCCAAAACTACCTGAAAACATCTGGTTTATGAGCTGCAGGCTCTAGAAGAGTCTGAAATAACAATAATAAAGCCAGAATGTATAACTGGTAGCAAAAATAAATAGAGCAGTGAAACCGAAAGAAGTTAATTAGAAATATGAATTTGTTTATTGGCTGAGGATATGTGGAGGCTGTAATAAGACAGCAGGCACTGGGATTTAATAGCATCTTTTGGACCAGCTAATGAGTGTGGGCAAAGATTTGAACTACTAATCAGTCCCAGGAGGGTGAACATATCAGGTCAGCAGGTATCTGCATGATCTCTGTATTAATCAACCACAAAGAAGGCCCCTAAAACTCAGATTTGGACTTTCCAGACAGTTTGGAGGAAGGCCCAGTGCATTTCTAATTTCTGTAAGGATTGCTATTGAAAGAAAATTACTCATCCAGACCCAAAGCTGGAGACATTCAGACCTCCAGCCTTGTGTCAGAGAAAAGGGTCTGGAGGATGGGGCTTTTAGTTAGGAAATGGAATGAGTTCTGCAATGGAATAATTGATTTAAAAAAAAAGAAAGCCATTTTCTTATATTGTTTGGCATGTGTGAAGACAAGAGTCCTTTTTTTTTTTGTCTCAGTCTCAAATAACTCTTCTGTTTCCTCCCCATGGAGATTGTCTTTGGATGGAGTCAACACTATTCTCTGCGCTTTGATTGGGAGTGTGCCAGGGAGTAGGGGTTTTTCTAGGATTGCAGTTAAAATGTTTTCACTCCTGAGCAGGAATGTTCCTCTACCTCACCATCCTGACTTTCTTTTCTTTTACCTTTCTCACCTCCAATTCATGCTGTTTCCTCTGGTTACAGTCTTAATTTTTTTTTTCATTTTCTTTTATATTATGAATATAATGCTCACAAACAAACAAAATCATTTCAGTATACAAAGCAAAAAAGGATTGTCTGTGAAAACTGGGAACTTCTATTACATGTATTTCACCACTACCAAAATAATAATCCTAAAACATCACTTTCTTCATGACCCTAGCCTTCCTTCTCAAAATCTTCCACAATTCTCCATTACCAACAGAATAAAATCCAGATTCCTTAGTCTGGTATGTATCATAGCGGCTATGAAATCTCCATAGAACAAATGGATGGGGCAGGATGAGAAGGCAGGAGAATTAATGTGGTTCAGTCGAAAGACAATCAAAGGATCTGAGTTTGAATCTTGCCTCTAATAATTACTACCTATTCATTCTTGGGAAGTTATTTCCTCTCTACTAGCCTGAGTTTTAGCTGTAAAACGAAAAGGTCAGCCTAGAAGACCTTTATGTTCTCTTCTAGCTCTAAAACATTAATCCTAGGAAGCCCAGGATTTCTAATTGGTTTTCACACTGGGTAATGGGATATTTCAAAATTTCTGTTGTTGTTTAGTCTTTTTCAATAGTGTCTAACTCTTCATGATCCCTTTGGGGTATTTTGTTTTGGTTTTTGGTGAGGCAATTGGGGTTAAGTGTCTTGCCCATGGTCACACAGCGAGTAAGTGTCAAGTGTCTGAGGCTAGATTTGAACTCAGGTCCTCCTGACTCCCAAGGCTAGAGTTCTATCCGCTGTGCCACCTAGCTGCCCCAGAGGTTTTTGGTTTTTTGTTTGGAAAAGATAACTGGAGTGATTTGCCATTTCCTTCTCTAGCTCATTGTACAGATGAGGAAACCTAGGCAAGCAGGTTTAGGTGACTTGCCCAGGGTCACACAGCTAATAAGCATCTGAGGCCAGATTTGAATTCAGGTTTTCCTGACTCCAAACCTGGAATTCTATCCACTGTGCTACCTAGCTGCCCCTGTACAACCTGGCTACTGATTTTAGGGAACCACAGAAGCTACCGCTTAGGGGCAGGAGAATGGAATTTACATCAAGAAAGAATTATTAGCTCATCATTACTGAATATTTTAGTCCAGGCCTGGAAAATGGAAGCTTTCCAGAAATGTAATGAAGTAGTCCTTACTAATGATGCAATTAAAGTCACCTTCCATTTTGCTGGGGGAAATTGGCATTCGTTACAACCTAATAAAGCCAATGCATTCTATTTTTGCTACCAGACCTATTCTGTCTCGCAGCTAATAGCTGGTCTTGGCCCAGTGCCCACTGTTCTCTCTAGAGGACTTAGCTCAAGGAACCTACCTCCAAACCTTCTGAACTGCAGATCAAAACAAAAAGTTGAGGGGCTTTTAGGGCTTAGTCCTTGAGGACCCTGAGGCAAACAGGGTCACACAGCTAGTAAGTGTCTGAGGCTAGTTTTGAACTCAGCTCGTCCTGACTCCAAGCCTGGCACTCTAGCCACTGAGACATGTAGTTGCCCCAGACACTTAGTAGAACAAGTCATTTAACCTCTGTCTGCCTCAGTTTCCTCATCTGTCAAATGTAGATAATAATAGCACCTACCTCCTGGGGTGGTTGTGAGCATCAAATGAGATCGTATTTGCAAATTGCTCAGCACAGTCCTTGGCATGCAGTAGGCTCATAACAAATACTTGTTTCCTTCCTTTGTGACATTAGATACCAGGTAAAATATAAAACTGGACTTAATGTTGCTTGAGGTCAGGGAGCTTGGTGTTGACGACGGAACGAATCATAGATCTTGAGCTTGAAGGGAGCTCAGATTGAGGCTATCCTGTCCAGCCTCATTATTTTGTAAAGAAGAAGCTGAGTCTAAGAGAGTTTAAGGTCATTTAGGTGGTTGTTTTTCAGTCATGCCTGACTCTTTGTGACCCCTTTTGGGGTTTTTCTTGGCACAGATACCAGAGTGGTTTTCTCTTTTCTTCTTCATCTCCTTTTACAGATGAGGAAACTGAGACAAATAGGTTAAATGACTTGCCCAGGGTCACATAGTTAGTAAGTGTCTGAGGCCAAATTTGAACTCAGGAAAATGAGTCTTCCTGACTCCAGGCCTGACACTCTATCCATTGCTCCATGTACCTGTCATTTAGGTAGTAAGCATTATAAGCAGGATTTGAATCCCGAGCCCCTGACTCCAGAGCTAGTAGCTCTTTCCACTGTACCACTCAATCTCATAAAGTAATGAGGCTCTCAGAGACTTGCCAAAGGTCACATAAGAAGTTAAGTGTCAAAGGCAGGATTTGAATCCAGGTCCTCTTGATTCTAAGTCCAGCACCCTTCCTACTACACCATGGAACTTGAGGAATTGTTAGCTATCCTGAGTCAGTACATGTAATAAGTGTGGGGGGTGGGGTGGGGTGGGGCTGTTTACTTTAAACCTTTAGATGCCAATACTTAGAAGATCCAGGATGTCTTTTGAGGTGAAATTCAACTTAGGGAATGTGGATGAGGGTGATTTGGAAATGAAGGTATTTTATGGAAGCAAGAGACTCCTATTTCTGTCTAGCTGGTGAGACTGAGGCCCCGTACATCTTGGTGCTGATTCCCGTAAAGCTATTTCAACATATGAGAGTTGTGATGACAGGTGCAACATTTGGCTGGCACAGTAGGTGCTTAATATATGCTGATTGATTGATTGAATCCATAGGACTTCTCCTTATGGGAAAAGAATACAGAAATGGGGGGGAGATGGTTGAACAGACCCAGTGCTTGGTGAGTGAATGATCTTAGAAATGTTTGTTTCCCCCACAGTTGAAAGAACACTCCCTCCTTACCTCTACCTCTTAGAATCCCCGGTTTTCTTCAAAACGCAGCTCAAACACCACTCCCTACAACAATCATTTATTGATACCTACTATGTGCCAGGCATTGTGCTAAGCGCTAGCGTTATCAAGAGAGGCAAAACCAGTCCTTCCTCTCAAGGAATTTACAATCTAATGAGGGAGACAACATGCAAAAACTGCATATAAACAAGATTTACAGAATAAATTGTAGATAACCTCAGAAGAAAGGCATTAACCAGGACTAGGGAAGGCTTTCTACAGAATGTGGAATCTTAGCTGAGTTTAAGAAAGCCAGGGAATCCAGGAGGTAGAAACAGGGACGGGTGAGAGTTCCAGGCATGAGGGAAAACTATGGGGGAAACTTTGCAGAAATGAGAGACTTGTGCTAAGAAATCCTAGAGTATGTGGAGGGAAGACTGGAAAGGTGGGAGGGGCCAGGTTATGGATGTCTTTAAAAGCCAAACTGGGGGGTTTACATTTGATCCTTGAGGTGATGGGGAGTCACTGGAGTTTAATTTAGAACAATCACTTTGATAGCAGAGTGAAGGATGGACTGGAGTGAGCAATCTTTTGCAGGAAGGTAAAAGGAGGTGGCTTCTTCTTCCAAGCAGCCATCACTCATGTGAGCTTCCAACTGGCCCTGTGCCATTCCCTACTTCCGTCTCAAAAACAAACTCACCTGCCCCACACACTTACTACCTCAATATTTTATGCTTCTTGCCTGGAGTGCAAAAAAGGATAGTTATAGTGTGCTGCTTTAAAAAAAAATAGCGAAATGGATTCAATTCATTATGCCCTGGAGGTGGCTCTAAAAGGAGAGACTAATGCTGTGATTTACCATCATTCTGACTAATATAGGTCTGTGTAATAAATATTACAATGACCAGAGGCAAGCAATTTGATTCTAAACTCAGCCAATTGGCTGAGAGCTGAGCCATGTGACCTGAACCAGTCAAATAGCAATTACAATACCTGTATCATCAGAATATTCTAAAGAAAAATGAGAATAATATGGGCTCTTTGTTTTTTTTTTTTTTTTATATAAATTTATTTATTTGTAGTTTTCAACATTCATTTCCACAAGTTTTTGAGTTCCAAATTTTCACCCCCTCTCACCTTCCCCTGCTTCCCCTCCACTGTAAGAGACTTTTCTTTTCTGTTTTTTCTTTGTGAGATAATTTACCCCATTCTACCTCTCCCTTTCTTCTTCTCCGAGTATAATCCTCCCTCATCCCTTAATTTTATTCTCCAGATAT